AACCAAATTCAACCATTAAGAGATCCTGTCGTATTCTTTCTTCGTCGTCTCCTTTTTTATTTTTATTTTTTATTTCAGTTTTCGCGTGTTGTATTTACCAATTTTTTCTTTGACCTTTCTCTCACCGTGTCCGTTTATCGAGCATACCCATGTCTGCGTGACGGCGCTGCCCTCTCTCTTTTTGTCACCTTTCCTGTTTCCGCGATTCGTTCGTTTCTTCGCATCATCACATGTTTGCCTCGCCGACGGCCCTCCTCCGCAATGCGTTGCGTGTCCTCGTGCCAGTGGCGGTAGCGCTGACCGTATACACCTACCTGTACCCGGTCTTTGGGCAATGCGCCTTTCCTCTGCCGCCTCGACCGACGACGGAATACTCCGACACCGACAGCGCATCGTCCGCGTTCCGAAAGACACTTGGCCTGCACCTCCCGTCAAGTCTCGATGGTTTGCTTCCGGGCCGCAGTGGCTTGGAAAGCCGTCCGCTCGCCCCCTTCCGAATGCTCGCGCTCGGCGATCCGCAGCTCGAAGGCGACACGTCGATCCCAAACGCCTACAGCGACCAGTCCTTCCCCAACCTCGTCCACGCCTTCAAGCTGGCCACGTTCCAGAAGATTCCCTCCGACCATGGCGAAGAAAACGGCCCCGACGACGACTCTGTCTCCTCCATGGCCCTCCGCGAGCGCATCCGCCAGACGCTGCACGACCTGGTTGACTTTTGGTTCCTCGACATCCCCAACACGATCCTATCCGGCCGCAAGCGCATCGACTTGTTTGGCAACGACTTTTACCTTGCACACATTGTGCGTTTGATGCGCTGGTGGACGGTACCAACGCACATATCTGTCTTGGGCGACCTTCTGGGAAGCCAGTGGGTGGACGACGACGAATTTGAGCGTCGTGCTTTTCGCTTCTGGAACCGCGTCCTCAAGAACGGCGAGCGGATCCCCGACGAATTGGCCATGTTCCCGGCTGATGAGTACGACCTCTCCGGGTACCTGGGTACGCCGGCCAACACGAGCACCCCCATCAACCAGACCGTAGCCGATATTGCCGCTTCTTGGACCCGCCGCATCATCAACGTGGCCGGCAACCACGACATTGGCTATGCCGGCGACATCACCGCTGAGCGCCTGGCGCGATTTGAGCGCCAGTTTGGCAAGGCCAACTACGAGCTGCGGTTTGAGCTGCCCGTCGACCGTCTGAGCACTGACGCGCGTACCGCCGTGTTCGACGACGAGACCAATCCGGACACGCATCTCCTCGTGCCCGAGCTGCGCATTATTAACCTCAACGACATGAACCTAGACACGCCTGCCTATAGTACGGACATCCAGGACCAGACCTACAACTTTATCAATGCCGTCATCAACACCGCCTCGGCCGTCGAGTTCAAGGGCCAATTTACCATTGTCTTGACGCACATCCCGCTCTATAAGCCCGAGGGGGTTTGCGTTGACGCGCCTTATTTTGCTTTCCACGATGACGATGGAACGCTGCGCGAGCAGAACCTCTTGAGCGAGGACGCCAGCGAGGGTTTTCTGCAGGGCATCTTTGGGATGCACGGCGACCGCAACGCGCCCGGAGGCGGACAGGGCCGCCGCGGCGTGATTCTTAACGGTCACGACCACGAGGGGTGCGACACGTTCCACTATATCAACCAGTCCCACAAGATTCCCGACGAGGACCGTCGCTGGGAGACAGCAACGTGGGCGACCGCGCGGGCCGAAGGTTTGCTGGGCAAAGAACGCGATGGACTGCCGGGTGTGCGGGAGATTACCGTGCGCAGCATGATGGGCGAATTTGGAGGCAATGCCGGCCTGCTCAGTGCTTGGTTCGATGAGGATGCGTGGGAGTGGCGGTTCGAGTACGCGACCTGTGCATTTGGCCGGCAACACGTATGGTGGGTGGTTCACATTGTGGACTTGGTCACGGCTGGACTGCTGCTGGTTTTCTACGCCATAAGGACGTTTGAGTCACTCACAGGAAAGCCACTGGCCTGGCCAAGTTATGTAAATGTTCAAAAGAAGGAGCTGCCAAAGGAGAAGCCGAAGCCGGCGAAGGCGGCCGTGGCAAGTGCAGAGAAAGGCCCGAAACCAGTGTCTAATGGCACTCCAAACCGATGACGGTAGATAATGACTGGGTATGTTTATTAATATTTAAAGACTGCGTTGCTTTGCTTTGGAGTTTGCTATGGCTTTGGAATTCTGTTATTTTCTTTTCTGACTTTATAGACTGGACCGGTGCCATGCGCAACTAGATAGGAGTAATGTAGATAAAACGATGGTTGGTTACATTGTTATATTTGTTATATTGTTAAGTTGTGATTTTGCTCATATGTCATGGCTTCCATTTTATTTGTATGCTTTTTCCGTCTTGTAGCCTCCCCCCAAGTTTCGTATCACCCGATGCATGCCTGCGGCCTTCACCGCTGACTCCGTGACAAAAGGAAGAAAAGCAAACGCAGGAACAGAGAAAGGAGCCCCCAAGATGAGAAGAAGTGGAATGTACAAGGTCGCAAGTGAATGCAGTGTGATATGGTTGCGACAAAAGTGAGAATTATGGGAAGTGATGATGGAATGGAGAGAGAGATACCGAGTCGTAGGTGGTCTATTTTGTGCCTTCACTTGCCGCCTGCTGAGTCGCCTGCTGGGCCTGTTGAGACTGTTGGGCCTGCTGTCCCGGGCTCAAAAACCAACCGGTAAACGACTGCTTCATGTTTTGCATGGCCTCCTGCTGCATCTTCTCCTGCATGGCCGCCTCCTCCTTGAGCCACTTCTCACCGTTCTCGCGGATCTCCTTCTCCATCATCTCGTACGTCCTCTGGCCACGCTCGCGCGCAATGTCCTGCAGCATCTTGCCCTGCGCCAGCTGCTCGGCCACGTTGAGCTCGCCGTCTGCGGGGACCATGACGCTCATGTTGTTTGACTTGAGACCCAGGAGGGCACCGAGGCCGCCAATGCCACCGCCGCCACCCTGCTTCGGCCGACCACGGCGCTGGCTCGCCAGCTGCTTCTCGAACTCGGCGCGCGCAATGGCCTCACGGCGTGCAAACTCGGTGGGGATGTCCTTGCCCTCAAAGGACTTGAGCACCTTGCGCACATCGCCGTACTGCATCGTGTAAACGTACTCGAGGAAGGGGATGAGGGCCACGAGGTCTGTGTCTTTGGGGTTGCCCTCCCACTTGGGCAGCACAATGGCGTTTTCGGGCTGGGCGCGAACGTGGCTGGCGTTGCTGTCGATGATAATCACCTTGGACAGGTCGCGGTTGAGGTATGACAGGTCCTTGACAATCTCACCGTCCTTGTACTTGGTGGCCTCACGGAAGAGTGGGTAGACAATAAAGCGGTAGGGATCCAGCTTGCGCACCATCGGCTCGCCAATGGCAAAAGGCAGCGTCGTGAACAGCACCAATTCGTAGTACTGGCTGAGGTAGTGCAAGAAGTAATCGGCGCCGGGGCGCTTGGCAATGCGCCAACCGTGCTCGCGCGTCCACTCGCTGTGGATCAGCATGTCCTCGAGGGAAATGCACAGCGTGTAGGGCCGGCCGTAAACCGGATCGGGCTCTGGCAGCAGCTTCTCGAAGGCAGGCTCGTGGTAGTACGACAGCACCTCTTTTGTCCGCGTCGACACGCGGTTCCACCACAGACCCAAACCCCAGCCGTTGGGGACGTCCGGGTGCCGCCGCGCGTCCTCCTCGTCCCAGTTGCGGCCGGCATAGACGGTACCCACAACAGCGAGGCCGACCGCACCCGCAAACATGTAGTTGGCCACCTTTTGGCGCCGCTTTTCCGACGACGAGACGTATGCCGACGCCGGCAGCTCACCCTTCTCGCGGCCACCAGGGCCACCCGGCCCACCTGCACCACCAGCACCTGCGGCAGTCTCCTCCTCAAAGGGCGCCAAGGAGGCTTTGTTCATCGCACCGGCGGTCTCGTGCTCGAGCGTCGACGGGATGCCCTGCGTCAGGTCGGGTAGCTGCGACAGGTCAATCTTTGGTGGCTGTTCTTCCGCTGCTGCATCCTTTGTCGACTCGGGTTCTTGTGTCGGTGGCTTGGCCTCTAGTGGACTGGATGAGGACTGTTGTGGAGACGGCTGCTGCTGCGATTGTGTAGGCTTCTTGTCGCTGCTTGGCGGGGTGAAGCGGCCCTGGGCTAGGAGAGCGGTCGTCGAGAAGAGTGCCGGGCGGAGGGCCGAAGAGGTAGAAGATGTACCGCCAATGGTAGATCTTCCAATGGCTGCCGTCGTTCGCTGAACGGTCGGTACCATGGCAGGCGACCGAAGCCGCCGCACAGCTGCTCTGAGGAGCATGGCGGGGTGTGCGGCTGTGTCAAGGGACCGGTGTTGATAAAAGAGTAAAACGACACGGAGAGACGTCGGGGTTGTAGGCGCTTATGTAGTGAGCACACAATCGAGGTTGTGCTGCAGCGGATGTTGTGTGGTAATGGGGTCGCAGAAAGAGAGCTTCGCACGACACGCGATGCTGTCACCTGAAAATTCAAGGTGGGATGTGCCTCGCAGCCTTACACTGGACGCAGCAGGAGTTGGAAAAATTTAGTTCTTGGTCCGCTGTCTGTCCTGCTGTTGGGTGTGCGCCACAACCTGTCAGCCAAAGCTGCAAAGCCAGACAAAAGCTATGGTAGCGTCATAAGCCGGATTTTCATTCACCCGCTCCCGAGCGTTGCCACTGCTGAGAAGCAATCGCGTTACCGAGCCGTCAACTGCAGGTCCCGACCCTTCCCCGCCTTTGTCTTCACCTGCAGAGCAGCTTGGCAGCGTTGCCTTGACCCGATGACAGAGCGAGCCTTCCAGTTGCACGCCTGACGCCATCCTTGTTTCTGTTCAGCGCCCACCCTCCAGTACCGGGTTAATCTATGCAACAGCCCATATTTAGATCCCCTCTTTCTCCTCTTTCTCCATTTCTACCGTCCTCGTGCTCATCTTCCGGTTTCATTCCTGGCTGTTTCTTCTCCTTCGTCTTTTTTCCCTTCTCAGCTTTCGCCTCACCACACCACCGCCGTCTCGCGCCACCGTATCAGCGTCTTAACGCCGGCAGAACCATTCCACACGGCCAGCCTCGAAATCTCCTCGTCAATCTCACTTCCAACACCACCCTCGTTTTGTTCCTTTTGTATCTTGTTTCCACTGGTCACGAGACACTTTTGGACAACCACCCTCCGCGAACAACGCTCGTCAAACCCCAACCCCCCGTTCACGTTCACCGTCGTCCTCAACATTTCAATCTCCACAATGGCGGGCGCGCATGCGGCATTCTAGAGGGTGGCCGCCCATTCGTCGACTTGCGTGCTGCACTCACGATGGAGCCACTCTCTAGAGAATTACCTATTCTATCTAGCAAGACTGAGGACTTGGCTTTGACGGAGGCCGAAACGACGGGCATCAGGGCGTGGATTACGAAGCACCGCATAACCGACATCCCTCACGAGCGTAATCTACAACAGAATCGACAGCAGACCAGGAAACGGTCTATCCCACTCTTCGGCACCGACAGCTTACAACTTCTCATTAGCTGATTGATTTGAAGAACTATACCCACATACGAAATGGTCAAGAAAACGACCAAAAAGGCACAAGTCGTGCGGCCACGGCTGTCCCGACCTGTCGCCGTTTCGCCGGTCGCCACGCCGGTGTTTTCGAGTTTTACGACGCCATCTAGCTCGGCCCTACCGTCTGCTTATGTATCTGAAGACGAGGATGATGTGGTACCGGCCAAGTTCGACATCAGCACCATCCCGATTCACAAACTGAGCATTGGGGCGACTGTGCCTGAGACGAATGGTGCAGATGGCTCAGCCGCTGCCGCTGCGCCTCCTGGATCCGGCGAGACTCCTGCGGAGGGCGACAGTAAGGGCAAAGAGCCCGAATACCCTATTCAGCCCTTCCGCCTTCTCGACTTGCCGTCGGAGCTGCGCGTCAAGATCTACGGCTTCCACTTCGAGGGTGTCGACGCCGTGGTTGATCTGACGCCCGATAACTACAAGAAGGTGCACCGCAAGCTCATGTTGCTGCGTACCTGCCGTACCATCTACCGCGAGGCGTCATACTACTACTACAGCATGCATACCTTCCGCATCTTTCCGACTTACCCGGGCCGCTTTTTCAAGACGCGCCGGCCGCTGCTGGCACGTCTCAAGAAGGAGCAGCGCAATGCCATGACGAGCCTTGAGCTGCGCCTGGGCCCCGGGTTCAACAAGCCGCCGAAGTGCTGGGTGGTCAACCGCAAGCTGGGGCTCAAGGACTGCGTCAACGTGCGCAAGCTCAATGTGTTTGTGCAGCTGGATCCGAGCGTCAGCTGGCTGGACGGCTTTCGCAAGGCCGGTTTCTACGAGGCGTTCTCCCGCGACCTGCTGCACGACATTTTGCAAGAAGCGCCGAGCGTCGAGGTGGTTGAGTTTGACGCGTATGAGAGCGTGCGCAAGAACTGTCCGATCATGGAGGCATTGCAGGAGACGGTGCGGGAGCACGGCAAGCGCATTATGTGGGGACCGCGAAACGGATGGACGGCCACGTCGGATAATGCGGGCAACATGAAGCTCAATAGTGGTGGCGGTGCCGGCCGACTGATTATCAATGTCAACAGCAACGGCGGTAGCAGCCCAGCCATTTTCAATTACGATAACCCTTACGACACTCCCATCATTTCCATGGCGTGAAATTACGTATTTTGCGACATACGAAGACGCCATTCATATACTCTTCCACATACTCTTCCGCCCTTCTCGGTTCCTTTGCGTATTTATTGTATGTTTGTTTTACCTTTTTCGGTCTGCACTTTTCTTGCTATTTTGGGTCTGCCTGGTCTCGTTCGGGATGTTGTGAGGCGTTTTGATTTGTGATCTATCGTTTTCATGCGTTTTTATCCGCAGGGCGCTACCAAACGGCCACATATCGTTCACCTTTGGTCGGTGGCATGTCGATTGTGCCCGCTTCATATCTCTGTGTATTTTGGCTATCCGTGTTTATGTCCTCCACAAGGACGCATTGCTTATTCCACTTTTGTCGACCAATTGCCATTACCTGTAGCTTTTATTATTCTCACTCATTCGCTCACGATATCTCAAAGCTATTCATCTCTACATTTGCTTACGGGACATAGGATCTCTACATGAATCATATCCATACCACTCTGCGCATATTGTCCCCAACGGTACATTCTATTGACTCTTAAATTGGTTAAAACGTGGCTCAACGCCACAACTTGATAGCAAACAGGGTAACAACCGACAAAGCTAGCAAGCGCTTCCGTCCTCTTGACAGTCTTCCTCACATACCCTGCGGCGGCAGCACATTTTTGCCGTACTGTGAGGCCACGTTGCCCGCCGCCTTGTAGTCGCAGACAGTGTACCATGAGTTGAGCGCCGGGAATATGGTGCCTGCCGGGCAGTAGTGCGTCGCACAGCCAACCTCCGTCGAGGCCACCCAGACGAGCTGCGAGAAGTGGCCCCATTTGCTAAAGTTGGACATGTCGGGGGTCGGCTGGCCGTAGCCCGGGTACAAGGCCAGTTCGCCGTCGTACCATATATTCGTGATAGCTTGAGTAAGAAACGTGTTGGGGTCGGCGCTGGTAATGTCGGCGCTCGAGCCGGACACAGCAAGGTTCTGACCGTAGCCGCCGCCACCGGGGCCCAGATTGTGCGCAAAGACACATGAGGACGCCACAGCAGCGGCGTAACCGGCCAGGTCGGCGTTCCATGACATGGGGGGAGCCGAGTGTTTTTGGCGGTGCGTGTTGTGGGTGCTGACAGCGATGTCGGCGTAACCGTTGCGTGCGGTGATGACTGATGTGGCGTCGGCAGCATGGCTGTCGAAGGCGTACCACGTTTCATTGACAATCGGCGACGCCGACGCCGCGGAGGCGGCGGCCAGGAGTGCTGTAGAGACCTTCATTTTGACGAGAAGGAGATCAGGGAGGAGAAGAGTGAAAGATATTTGCCGAGGTGTTTTGTGTTTTAAAAAAGATTGAAGAGAGAACTCTGAAGTCAAGTATATATTGTCTGGGAAGGGAAGGTGGGTGAAGGAGAGTCAAACTCAACAGACAGGAATCGGCAAGAGGTTTTGGAATTTATACACGACGAGAAGGCAGGCAGTCGGTTTCAATGCCATCAGTAATGTTAATTAAAGTTCCTGTATAACGAAATGGGAGTCATATCATGTAAGCCCCAAAGCAGAGCATGTGGAACATAAGAAACATGAATACGTGAAGAGCAAGAGGACCATAGTTCTGGATAAGCATGGTCTTGCCGATCTGCAAACCGGACACATTCTGTCTTCACATCCGTCACCGCGTTTTCAAAGATGTGGCGAGAGAGCAGCTTTGCTGACGATGAGTTGTAATTCGTACGGTGCATGGACGAATAATAAGGTTCAAGACCGAGTATATGGACGGAAATAACATAATGTAAAAATAAAAAATAAAACGTCTGACTAAAGCAGGTACCAAAGTAATTTTCCTTGGAATCTAAATGGGAAAAGTAGCGAGCGACATTTGGGATAACGTACAATAGGAGCTATTACCGAGGCCGACACGTAGGATATGCTCCGTGTTTCGACTTGGTCGGGTGACCTACGGGACCAGAGACCTGCAAGTGCCCTTGAACCGGGTTCCAGCCCGGCCGAGAAGGAAAGCAACGACGAAGCGTGGTTAGTAATAAATCAGGCTAGCTTCCTAAACCACCTTGCGTCGCAATAACGTCTACCACATTTATGTATTCTTTCGGGTTGTGTTTGGATTCCTTTAAATTCGCTGCTACGCCTCGCCATTCCCATCAGGCTGGCGGCCTGAGCATCGGGGCATTTCCCTGCTGTTTCTTTACGTAGTGAGCCATCAATCTCCCCTTCTCCTGTCACATTTCTTACGCTTTCACCGTCATGCATATCGAATTTCGACATATCCATGGTATATGCACTCCCCACCTCTCGAATCTCTCGAGTCCTGTTACCTAGTGATGTTCTTCGAGATGCATGATGCATGCCGAATAAACAGACAAAGATATTATTGGCGTAGGCGATGTGGGATATGTTGTTAGTTTTTCTGTCACCGTTCGACAAACTCGGTTAGTTCTTGTTATCCAAACTTGCAAGTCCAGGTCCATTGGGAGGGCCAAGATCATTCGCCAACAAAACACCTGGAATGTCAATGTCAATGTCAACCCTCAAGTTAATACAATAATAAATTTCAATTAATTGTATGCGCTCCCCACTTGATATCTAACTTGTTCAAGGTCTACCATAAATACCGCAGTCATGTGAAAGAACTTATACCTGGCGTGAAAAACCTCTCGAAGCTGTTGTATGCGTCAACCGACAGGGCCCAGTCCATAAACTGAGAAAAGCCATCCTGTTGGGATGGATCGAGCCATGAAAGGTCATTGCCGGCTGAGTTGATACCGCTTTCTGCTGGAAGAATGTCCTGGGCTGCACCGGGCAGCAGAGGAGTGGTGTTCAGGGCAGGTGAGACGGCACTGCCACTGTGTCCAGCCAGCAAATCGGCTTTGGTGACCAGGTCCCTCGTAATTGCGGCGGCGTCGTTACTGATGGCAAAGTGAGCGCCAAACGTATCAAGCACAACCAAGGCCTTGTCCACTGCACGGCGAGCTTTTTGAGTGGCTTGGTGAATGGGATAGGCTAGGATGAAGCCCACCAGTGTTATGGTTGCGTTCCACTGCATGGCAAAATACTCTGACCAACAGCTCATGACATCGGCCTCTGTGATGAACTGATGCATGATCAAGGCAAATGAAACAGCATGGTCGACACTGGTGGTGGCAAGGCGCTCTGCAACAGGAGTGTATGTTCCGGGGTGTGTGAAGAATGTGATAAAAGGCCGAGTGAGGTTGAACACAGCATGGTGGTATGTCAACTCAAGGCAGACGCGCTGCCTTTGCAGCCAGGTCGGAACCAGAGTATCGATTTCCACGGCCAGGCAGCTCGTGGAATACGGTTCGCCCCCACCGCGTCGCCGCATTTTCAAGCCCGAAGGCACGTTGTCCGCCCACGTCTTCATTGCTGGGAGCATCTGAGCCAGGGTTACGGCGCAGCCTTCCACTGTATCCGGGTCTGTGTATATGCACGACAGGTCCTTGCGGTGTATGGCACGACCAAACTGTTCCCAGAGCGGATCGAACACATCAAGCAGCGTCTGGAATAAACGCAAGTTCTGCAGTGCATACGTCAACCACGTGACGTTGTCGTGGAAGCCCAGCGTAGCGTCATTGGCTGTGGCGGCGTCCCTACCATCGGAGAACAAGCTGACGGTCACCAGCGCGCGGTCAATGAGACAAGGGCGGCCCAGTTTGGATGATATTTTTGTGTCAGTCATCCAAACTGTCCACCAGACCCGCTTGCGTAGCTCTTCCTCGGCATACGGAAGGTCTGCCGACGGTTCGGTGTGCAGCCCGAGGATCTGTGCTGTCCGGACGGCCTGGGCGAGGACAACGTGGGCGGTGTTCTGAAACGATGCACAACACAGGTAGTACGTGGCAAAGATACAGCACTGTACCGTTGCGATTGATGGGCTCTCGAGCTCATCAAACAAAAGGCTCTGTGCGCGACGGTAGTAGGCCCGGCCAGCGCTGGTGGCATCGTCTGGCAGCACGTCTCGTCCAGCCTCGGCAACTCCAAGTATGGCAGGCGGCATATATGCGTAGCCAAACTGCAAATTGATCGCAAGGATGATGTCAACGAGGGCGGATTGCGCCCGCTGTGTGGAGCGTGACTCCCACAGCGACGCGTAGTGGGTGCGGAATTGTGTCTCATCGACGATAGGGACAAGGCAATGGTATCCTTCCCAAAACAGCCGCAGCACGGCTTCTTCTTGCAATCGGGACATGAAGAGCCCCTGGCCCCTGGTCGGCATGCCGTCTAGATCGGCCACGGCATTGTCGGCAGCCTCCCTCGGAGCATCGCGATACACCCGTTTGTTCGGCCCGCGCAGCTGTATGGACTGTGTGGCATGTGGCTGCTGAAGCGCGTTGGCGAGAAACGATCCGATGCGGCTCAAAAAATAGAAAGAGGACGCCGCACCGTAGTACGACGGCCGGCCAGAGCGCGCCGTATCGACATAGATGCCCTTCCACTGCGGCTTTGAGGCAGGACTCGTCGGAAACTGCGTTGGGTCTGGATCGGACGGGACTCGCGCGCGGCTGAGGGTTGAAAGGTTGGATGAAGCCGCCGGCGCGACGGGCGATCTAGAATCGAGCAAAGCTTCCAGTTCTTTGATCCGGAGCTTCAGCTTTTCCGTTTCCCGGAGCGCTTGCGGGAGCGTGCGGGGTTTGTCGTCCGCTCCTCGGTTCGTGCATGGTGCATCTCTGTGGCGGCATGCCTCGCATGGCTGCGCATTGTCGCATCGAATCTTGCGGGCACGGCACCAATCGCAAGCTCGAGAGACTTGCTTCCTTTTCCGCCGACGGGCGTCGAAATGGTCTTCGGTGTTGCGAGTTGTTTCTGGCATCATGTTTTGTATTCGTGGGCGGTGACTGTAGCGGAGTTAGGGAAGGGAACGGAGTTGCGGACGGATTCGAAAGGTACGATGGATGACAAAGGAAAGTGAGGGGGCTGCTGCGGAATGGCTCTGAGGCGGAGAAGGGGTGCTCGGAGTTTCGGAGCTGTGCGTCATATTTGTTCTTCAGGGCCGGTTGCGCTGTTAATAATCTTACTACGGTGATGGGGCTGTAAACGAATTGACCACCAACGACCGTATTCAGGGAACTAATCTTACACTAATCGCGGCGCGAAAATGCACTAAAATGGTAAGGTGAAAGCTGATGAGAACTCACACCAAAACGATTGGGAAATGTCCAAGAGAGTGTGAAAATTGTGTTGCAGTGGGCACCCACCCACTGAAGCCCCAGCTGAGCTGAACGTCTAAGCCGTCGAGCACCAACAGAAATCGTAAACCTTCACGATAAGCAAAAGTCGAGCCGTGGTCAACGGAATCAATTCTACCACTCAACACCACTCCAAGCAGTATCTAAAATTCTACTCTGCCTCAAAAAAAAGCAGTACTCTACGCCATTCATGCTGCCACTAGAGTCTCCTGGGTCGTTTTGAATTCGTCGCTGAATGGGTAGTCGTTGTAGCCGACATTCGACATGACCAGGTAGAACGTCTTGCGGTTGTACTTGTTCAGCGGGATGCCATTCTTGATGCGAAACACGAGGTCTGGGTTGGCGAGGTAGTGGCGGCCAAAACCGACAAGCACATCGTAATGCTGGTAGTGCTCATCAACTGTCAACCGGGCAGTCTCCGGAGTGTAGCCGCCGGCGATCATAACGGGCGACTGGTTGTCCCAGGCGTCGAGAATAAAGTCCAGCGTTTTGCCTTTGTTGATTTCCTTGCCCCCAAAAATGATTGCGGCCGGGTCGCCGGTGGCGGCCACCAGGGACAAGTACGCGAGTCTGGCATTGTCCATTTTCTTCAGCTCGCCGACGATGTAGCCGTACAACTCGCGCGTATCGCTCTTTTCGACGCCCTGGAAACCGGCATACGGCGAGAAGCGGACAGCAACGCGCTCAGCACCAACGGCTTCCACAACAGCCTTGACTACCTCGAGCGTCAACCGAGATCGGTTCTCAATGGAGCCGCCCCAACGATCAGTGCGCCGATTCACCGAGTCCGTCAGAAACTGGTCGAGCAGGTAACCGTGAGCAGCATGGATCTCGACACCGTCAGCCCCGGCGGCAATCGCTCGCTTCGACGAGTCCACAAAGGCCTGGATGGTCTCATGGATTTCATCTTCTGTCATCGCGGTAGGCGTGGCGTCAACGCCCTGCATGGCGACGGCACTGCTGGACCGGTACGGGCGACCGCTCTCGGCCACATAGTCTGCCGTAGAAGCGCGGCCGAGAGCAAACAGCTGCTGGAAGTACACCGAGCCCTTGGCGTGGACGGCGTCGATGATCTCCTTCCATGCGGCTACCTGGCGGTCACTTGTAAATCCAGGGATGTTGCGCTGGCCTTCCTCGTCATGTGAAACTGCAGTGGCCTCCGAAACGACGAGAGTGCCGGATGTAGAGGCGCGATCGGCGTAGTAGGTCACCATCAATGGGGTCGGTGAGTGCTCGCTATCGTTCCGGTTCCTGGTGAGGGGAGCCAGGGCAATGCGGTGCTGTAGGGCCGCATGGCCCAGTTTTAGCGGCTTGAAAAGCCTGCTGTTTGCAAAGGACGATGCCATGGAGACGGATACCGCGGTGAGATTTGTGTGTCCAGTACTCTGTACTGTACAACAGTATGTGAGCCGCAGATGTGAAAAAATGAAGATAAAGTGTACAAGGTAACAGACTGGGTGTCCGTTTTGGACTTTTTGGTAATTTTCCGGCAATGTCCTGGAAACCACGAAACGATGAATTACAAAGCACGGTAGAGCGCATTTACGGAGGACTGCGATTCGTCATCTCCCAGGAGTTGACGGATGACAGCTAACACAAGACGACTTTTGCATCAACTCCGCAACTCCCTTCCGATACTCCGTTTGTCAACCGCGCCCTTTTCTAAAAGACAGCGCGGGCTTTTCTTGTTAATGGTGACTCGCATTCGACATATATAACACTCCCTTCTGCTCTTGCATTCGTGCTGCTTTGATGACACTCAACCAAAGGTTTTCAATTGACCATCAAACGCAAATTACCAATTACCACCGCCGAACAAGTCTCTGCTTTCAACAATGGCTGCCGCTGCAGACAAATCCAAGCCTTACATTCCCGTCGCGGGCTTAGCCACCGATGGGTGGTCTACCGACGAACGAGCATCCGCTACGTGCTTTTGCGGCGCAGTCCAGCTAGCTTTTGTAAGAAATACCATCGGATTGGACAGCATAGCATTCCATCCCTTACAGCCTCAGCACTGTGGCGACTTAGCAGACCACTAACACAACAATTTTTAGCCTACGCAAGGCCCTGGTCTCCGTGACACATTTTTGTGCCATTGCACCGACTGCAGAAAAATCACGGCATCCACGTTTGCCTCCAATTTTGTGGTTGCAGACACACACCTGGAACACGTACGCGGTAGAGACAACCTTAAGACATTCGGCCAGTCGACTAGCATCCGCTCTGGCCACAAGATGACAAACTACTTCTGCTCGACATGTGGGACACTGATGTACCGCGTCGGCAAAGGCTTTCCGGGCACGAGCATCTTGCGTCTTGGCACTGTGGATGACTTCAACTTGATTGAAACAAAGCTCAGGCCCAGGATTGAACAGTTTACCGACGACCGTGTGGCCTGGCTTCACAGTGTCGAGGGCGTGAAGCAGTACAGCGGCAGTGGGTTTGGGAATAAGGACGACGCGCAGCTGTAATATGCATATCTCTTGTACGACGTATGTCGTACACCCCGCAGATTTCAGGACAGAATGTTTTCTTAGACCCTTTTTCCTGTATTTCCTTTCTCTGTACCTTCCTCGGGAGGATTTACCCGCAAGCGACGATACCTCTGCGGTCATACGCTCGACGTCCCTGGCGAAAGAATGCCACCGGGGTCGACAGCGCCCTGCAGCGGAGTTAGGCCGGTCTCTTGTGTTTTGCAAATACAATCTACATTACAATTTTGACTCGTACCTTGATCTTCTTGACAAACCGCGTGTACGCGTAATATGTTGAAATTCATGTGCCAGGTGATCAGATCTGATAAAACTGTAAGGTTCTGATACGGTTCTCGGACGGAACAACCGGCCCAATGAGGAGCAAAAGACGATGACAGCGGCAATTCTCTCATAAAGTTCACATGCGCTTTGTACATGCCATAGCCCGTGATTTACTGTCTTCGTGGAAGCCAAGAAACATCCTCTCGTCATTGGATGTTTGTTGCGCGTCTCTCTGGTATTAACCAAGCATGTTCAGCATCTAGACGTGCCGTTCGTGCATCAAAAAGTCCGTTGCCAGCTCAAAGCAAGCTTCTTCGTATCGCTTGTTGCTCGCCTGCAGCCATTCGAGCACCAGTTTTCCAGAATTGGGCATGATGGGCGCAAAGTCGCCGTGGGCGCCCTTGCTGGTGCCATCCCTGGATAGAGCCCAGCGGCTGCAACAAATGGCAGACAGAACGTGGACGAAATGTTAGTCGTTAACCATCCATTCACAGACGGTATACGTGTGTTTTTAAGGCGCTCGCCATCTTTCCCTGCAAATAGTGTGCCCTTGACGGTTCCAGTAGGGGTCTTCGCGGGCCAGGGTCTCCCGAATGCCGTCGAACTGCGCCTGCACCGCGATATAACAACATCACTTCACGCCACAGATAGTGTAAACCACGTATGTAAACTGTATGTATAGTTTCTGGCTGTCAGTGGTCCACTGGCAGCTGTGTAGTTACTATGTGAGTTGATTATTCCGGTCGTTTATCAAGGCGCAGCTGTTACTGTCCAGTAATCCAGGTCATATGACCGCCCGTGCTCTAATGTTTTGATCTATGACTTTTATGTATGCTCCATCCATGCTGCATTGTGTGTGCTTTGCATTGTCGAAAGAAAGGACGTTGTAGAATATCAGAAAAGAAAAATGAGACAGGTACGAAAAAAACAAAATGGACAGAGAAGGACGCTACTCAGCCCACTTCATGGCACCAGGAACACTCGGGTCCGGTACGACGTACTTGCATGTCTTCCAAGTGGACCACAACTGGCCGACAAAGGACCGGGTCTCGCGGTGCAATAAGTTACCCAGGAGAGGGCGAATGGCAGCGGTAGCCTCTTCCTGCTTGTAAAATGGGATGCGAGGGAAAAGGTGGTGGACGACATGGGTGTCGATGATGCCGTGAAAGAGATGGCGGCCGACCCAGCCGAAGTCGCGGTCAACCGTGGCCAAGGCTCCCTTGACGTAGGTCCAGCTCTCGGCATCATAGTGGTGGACATCTGGGTGGTTGTGGTGGAGGTAGGTGATGGCAATCAGCCAGTGGTGCACCCACATGTAGGGCACGACGTACATGAAGACGACAGTCGACCAGCCAACATAGGTGGACCCGATGTAGAGCATACCGGCCATCAGAAGCAGGCCAATGTCGGACAGGGCAATGAACAAGGCCTCACTGGGACGGAAGACGGCGCTGGTGGGCTCGAAGTGGCTTAAGCGGTACCAGGGGGCGTCATCGCGCTGCTTACTGTCATCACCAGCCGACAGGTTGAACAGCAAGTACATCTGCCAACCAGCAAGCTGGTGGGCAATGAGCTGCAGCATCTGGACCAACGGGGTGTCCTCAACAAGCTCAGGGTCGAACCAGAGCGTGGCAATGCCGGGCTTCATCTCGCTGGTAGGCGTGGTGCGCGGGACGAAGACCATGTCTTTTTCCATGTGGCCGGTGAAGCGGTGGTGACGGTGGTGCGAGAATTTCCATGAGAAATACGGCACCATCAAGCTCGAGTGTAGCAACCAGCCGACGATGTCGTTAACAAGACCGTGCGGTGAAAAGGCGCCGTGACCGGCCTCATGGCCCAAAATCCAGATACCCGTCAGTACCAGGCCCTGAGCGTAGCCGTAGGCGATCCAGGCGGCAGTGCGCAGCAGTGTGCTCTCAAGGTTGGGGATGTAAGTCAGGCCCGCCCAGCCAAGCACGAAGGCCATGGCGTAGTCGCGGACGACGTAGGCCATGGAGTGAGCCGTCGATGACTCGAAGCAGTGCGCGGGGATGGCATCACGGATGGTCTTGATGTCTGGGAACGCCTCCGGCGCATTGGTAGCCATAAAAGCCTTCTCGTTGGTGACCGGAGCTCTCGCAGGACTGCCCCGACGGCTAGGCTGCCTCGAAGACACGGAGGACGAAACAACCGACATAATGGCGAGAGTGAGGAGGGATGCGATGAAAGTAAGAGAGGGAATATGTCGATTACGGAAAACACTAGGCGAGTAGACGAACAAAGGGAAGAGAGTTAGCAAACGTTGGAGTTTACTGCACTGCACTTGTTTTTTTGTTTTTTTTTAAAATTGCTCTCTCCCCACAACGATACCTAGCCTGCTAACTGACAAGATTTTCCCAAACCGCCTGGCGGTTGCTCGCCCCTTTCCATTCAAAACGGACCCAGGACCGGGTGAAAAAAATGAGAGAAAAGAGGAAAAGGACAGCACGAGGAACGTAGGAGAAAACCGCTCGGCTCTCGCCCCACTCTGCTTACTTGTGTCCTGCCGGGCACATCCTATTCCACAGAGCTCATTCCACAGACAGGAATGACCGCCGAAGTCAAATCCCTCCGCCAAACACACAGGAAAACCCCGAAAACCACTCGGTTCCGTCGTCTGCTTCTGGCAGCCGACTTGGGCGTGTGTCTGGCCAAATCGAAAGACACCGGTTCGCGGTTTCCTATTATGGAACATGCCCCAACAATTCTCGTCTCTAACTGGTCAATGGGCGTTTTAAGATTGCACTAAGACTTTTTCCGCGCTACCGGTAGGCATGAACCTTGGAGGACCCCTGGAAATGGTGATGGAGAAAAAAAAAACAGTAGGGCGATAAGGATAAGAAAAAGGGGACGAAAACTCTGTTATTTTGTCAATGGGAAAGAGCCTGCATTTATGGAGCAAAAAGGTTGCCATTCCGCCTGTAGAGATTAGTACAAACCATCACAGGCCTAGTCGCCAGGAATAGCTCCAGAATGTTTACAAGTGCCAATCATTGGCTGGATTCCAATTCCTCGGCCATCGGAAAGGGCCGTCCTTTGTGTGCATGTGTCAGTGTCGCAAGTGGGACTATTTGGGACTTAGCATGGCAAGTGACAGTGGGTGGTCTTGACGTTGACATGCAAATACAGAGTGTGGTTTGCGATGAAGATGATCTGACATTGATGCAAGTCGTACTCCGTATGGAGAGTATCGACTCTGTAATGCAATTGGTTGTTCTCCGCATACCCCACCATGGATCAGCCGTCAATTGCAGGATCTTATGCAGCCGCGTATCCAAAGAAAAAAGAGAGAGAATTCAGGGTTTAAACCAGCTTCAGCTCACCGTCAATTATCCAAGTAAGACTCTCAATCGTTTGCACCGGAACGTCCTCTTTGTAAATGAATGCGTGGAGTATTTGGTAAGCCCCAAAAGCAAAGTCAACACCGGTTCTATTGATTTGTCGCTCTTCCAAGGTGTCGATCGAACTTTGATCTTGCCGTTACTTTATGAATTTTTAACTAGGGTTAGTTGGTGACGTTGATTTTATTTTCATCGAGGTCGGTAGGTAAACGTAAGAACTGAAACTAAACGGGAAGGTAATATTAGTTGATTTTATTGAATCTTATGAATTTAACCTTCGATTTAAACTCCGATGATACATATAACTAGTTAAAAATATTTGTCTTTATTTAATAAGGTAGGTTTTTTGTTTTATTTTGATATCAATCGTGATATTTACTTTATCGTTACCGCGACGAAGTGCGTAACAGTTGAGGTAAAAATATAGTGACAACCTATTCCGCCTACATTAACTTCACCATTTATAAACCTTTAAAGTAGTTGCGTCTCATCGACTTGCCATGTAAATTCTGTTTCTACCTATTCTATCTTAAGTGTACTTGATACTAAGTTGTCCATCATGGAGGCTACGTTAATAAACATAAAGAGGGGTAGACCTCGCTCTTCTGCTATCAAGTATGATAACTGTAGTTACTATCCCAAACCACAGCCATAGGCCCCTTGTTCTGCGTAACGTCAAATTCACCGAGAGTTACAATACCGACCGTCGAGCTCACCAATGCGCTCTAATGTAACCACACTGTTAGATACCTGGTTGGCGACTGCCATATACCGACCGTCGGGCGAGAGTGAGAAATGTCGGGGAATTTTGCCGTACATCAGGGTGTTCCTCATGTAGACGTGATGCTCAAACTCATCCGGTTGGACTGAGTAGATGGCCAGCGTGTCAGTATGGTACGACATTGTGTTACGGTTCGAGACATATGCAAACGTGCCATCGCTCGGCGAGCCTCCGCGGCCAAGTTGGAATTATTTGGTTCTGAGCGGCTTGAGCCAGGGCCAAGGGTCGAGACCGTTTGAATCGGAGTGATATTCAAGGAGGATTGCGAGCAGATGTCACGACCGTCATTATTGCCGCCGTCGACTGTAAACACCCTGACAGTGTTGTCCAGCTCGCTGACGAAAACATAAAAGTGAATTTGTTATTATACATATCTGATACAGGGACACTCTCCGTCAGAATTGAGCCACCACGAGATTGTGTACGAAGCCAGTGCTGACCTTCTCGGAATGAAGTTCTGCCTCGTATTTTGCACTAATTAAATTGAGTCTGCGTGTAAATATAAGTGAAATCTAATTGAGGGCAGTGCGTTAAATCACCAATGCCAAAATATGCTCGCAAGCCTCCTTCTAGTT